CCGTCTGCCAAGAATGAGTTGATTGCTTTTAATTTCTTTTTCAAGGTCTATTAATTAATATTGTTTTAAAGCCAATAACCGGAGTTTTTTTTTAGTTTTTACAAAAAACCGGAGTAAAAAATCTATTAATACGTTCTACTTACAGAATAAATTGTCACATTAAGAGATGTCGATAATTGTTTTTTGTTATGGTACGTGCAAACGGCCACTTAAATTCGCCTTGATAGCGAAGTGACTATTTCCTATATAGATTTGCAGAGGCGATTAACAGAAGATGGGATACACAGAAAGACTTTTTCCACTTCCTATGGGTTTCCCTTCCCTTGCCTTTTTCCGTAGATTTCCCGTATTATTTCTACTGCCTTAGTGGATAATTTTTTACCATATGCTTTAGATTTACAATCGATCCGATGTCAATGCACTCACATGCAGTTCCATGACATAGTTCAATGTAACTAGAATATACCCTTTAATACTTTGTCATAACGTACTTTCATATGATCAAGTAATTTGTGGTCCAGGAAAATTCTCATTTTACTTTTATTTGATAGGTTATAAGGTCGGTAATTTCTTAGTTAAAAAACAATACATAATAAAACAATTGAGAAATACTTTTTTTCTAATATTCGAAAACCGTAATATACTCATTATATTATAGTTATTTTAGAGTCTTTTCATTAAAATCAATTTTTAATTTTTAAATTTCAACCTAAGAAATTGATCGTTAAAACTGTCAACATTTATTGACCTCTTTATTTGCTATAACCTCACAATCTTAGCTGTAAATTGTACCACGTACGACCTCCTTACGACAGGTTTAACAATTAATTCAAGTCCGAGCCACGTTTGGTTATTTCGACTAGCACGAATAGAATTATAACGATGTCCTTAAACGAACTGGTTGGAATGACTTTGTTACGGTTACTTTAGTACTTATGCTGTATCTAAAAAAAAATATTATTCCCCTGCTCAATGATATATTTTCAATTCAATACAAACAGATGTTATTGTTAACTTAATAAAACTCCGCGAGACATCTATAATAAAGCGTAAACACACACTTTTTCGTTGCCTAAAATGTCAGCAATTACAGGATGGTTTTGAATAATATTTTTTTTTAATAAAAAGCCCTACACTTACGTCACGCTTTAGGCTATATATTTTCACGCCATCAAACTAAGGCTTTGACTTTTTAACTGAACTATCGCACAAACGTGCGATTGTCGATTGTTTCGCAGCCAATTCAACTGTTCAGTTGCATAACTTAAAATCGAGTAGTGTGCATATAAGCTCATAGAAAGGAAAGCAAGACTAAAAAGTTGTGCGATAGTTTAGTCAAAGTGCACGCTCTAAAGGTTCGTAATTTGTAAGGCATACCCTTGTATCTATAGTAACGAAGGCAATGAAATAGCAGTGTTATTTAGCAAACTGTTGTAACCTAATTTCAATTGCAAATATCCATTGAAAGGAATGAACGACATTCCTTTACACTCCGGACTGATTAATAGCGGAAGTACAGTGACCGTGAAAAGTGTTACGATTATCTTAATTGATATTTCAAAAGCGCAAGGCTAAAGATTTTGAAGGTGTTTTTAAAGTTGGTTAGCATCGTTTAATTCAAAATATATTTATTACTGTGGCATAGTTTTTTTAAGTTAATTTTTTTCTGTATGAATAAATTTAATGTTTGTAAACTACTGAACATATTTTTAAAATCTAAAAAAAAATGATTTATTATGTTTAAGAACGTTTTTGGTTGCACGAATTATGTATTATTTCCAATTTTGACATTTCGTATGTAAACATAAGTAAACAAGTAATAAAGAAAAAAAAACCGTTATGTAGAAACAACAGTTTCCCGCCAATTAAATCGTCAACGTGTAACATTACAAAATAATGAACCATAAAAAATACTTCGTAGCGCTTCGGTGGCTAACTGTACTTCTTATATAAATACATCGAAGTAACAGCGTTTCACACGGGTTCGATTCAAAATACTGGCAGCAAAGAAATTGTTTTCGACAATTTTTATTTTCGACTAGCTGTTTCCCGCGACTTTGTATTTATATAAAAAGTAACCTATAATATCAGCTATGTCAGCTACCCTTCAGTGAAAGTCTGGCCGAAATCGGTCCAGCCGTTTCGGAGATTATCCGAAACAAACACGGCTTCCGGATAGACAGACACAGATTTTTTTAAATGTGATTTTCGTTATCAGCAACGCGAATACATCATCTTCCCGAAATCTGGAAATTTCTTTTGACATTACAAACAGACACTTCTATTTTATTATTAATAATAATAATAATAATAATAATACACATTTAATCAGTTCCAAAACACACTGCAACACAATACAACATAATACACTTGAACAAAAAAAAAATACAAACGAGAACAACGAAAACCAATCATAAACAATCAAAACTAATGACAAGAAAATTGAAAAGGAAAAAAAAAACAAAATATATAAACAATTTGACAATGCGTTGCAATGCAGAACTGATAGGGCCTTTGCTCAGCTATATGTTTTGTACCCTAGGGGTAAAAATTACATGTATTATTACATGTATAGATAGATAGTACATCAAGATCCCATGGTTGTCGACTTACGTTATTGCAGAAAAGATAGTAATATGGTCTAAGTGGGCTAAGTGTTTAGGTAACGGTTGCTTTAGAATTTACGATGTCTCTAATGATTAAACTTTAAGTTACTTTAAGTTAATAACGGTTATTGTTAGCATTATTTGCTTTTTCTCTGTGTAATTTCCAGAAAAAGGTGTTGACAAAATAATTTCAAATGACATTGTGCGAGTTTAGTCACGTTTTAGTATTCCAAAGCGTCATTTACGACCTTAAAATGTCTACCGTTCACTTATCCAACTTCCTTATGTCTTATTTATTCTATACACAAGATTTACCCGGCTGCGCGCGTATTTTATTTCATACGTTTGCATTGTATTGTGAAATCTTACCTTACTGAAGACGGCTGTGTTTCTTATGCGTGTGTTTATATACAAGGGTTTGTAAGTTCCAAGTTATTCGATTCGTAACCTACTCAGTACCTTAGGGGTACAGTCGTCTACATAAATATTAACAGAACTTTAGGAACTATACGCCGTCGATTTTAAAAATACGTTTGCAGGTTTTTTCAATAGCTACATTTATAGTCGGAAGCATACGAACGGATACGTATTTTTGAAAACGAAGGCGTATATAAGTTTCTGAAGCTTTATGAATGTATATTTTTGCAGGTGACTGTACGTCAGTCAATTTTTTGGTTGGCAATATCCTTAATATTTCAAACACAACCAGGGTTGCCACCTCAAGATAAGGTGCGCGCTAGGGCGCTAGGGCTGTATATTTTTGTTATCTGATCTCAGTATTTAATTGGCTTAAGAGATGTTTTTTCCATGTCAAGACTTAAGTGACTCGCCGATCGTTGTATTTCTTCTTGTCGCCTGTTCATTAAAAGTTGACAGCCCTAACCGTTGCCTGTTTCTTTTATATCCTGTACCATTGTATTCAAATTCTTTTTTATATGGTGCCAAGATTGCTCGAACAATTTTTCTTACAGATTCTTAACATAACGAGTTTATTATGTTTTTTTCCTTGTATATTTGTATATTTGCACAAATTATGCCACCTTGATCGTGTGCCTGATAATAAAATATAAATAAACTAACGTCATAAACCTTGTTTGTTACCGTAGACTTCCACTTTGGGATTACACATGTTCTAGACTCTCATTTTTATTGACTACTAGCTTTTGCCCGCGACTCCGTCCGCGTGGAATTACAAATACAAAAGCAAATTGCCTTTTTTGTATTTGTACCCCTTCTGTGGCCGCCTTCAGGTGCGATTTGAGGGTCCCGGGATCTCCAATAGAATGCCCCCTATGCACTGAGCTTTTGCTATATTCCCCGGGAAATTTTTCCCAAATGGCAACATTGAACTACACCGTGTTTCTTTCGTCGCTGCATTCTAAAAGCAAGTAGCCTATGTGTTCTTCCAGACTATGTTCTACATCTATGCCAAATTTCATCCAAATCCGTTCAGCAATTTAGGCTACAAACTCTTACAAAAATCCATCCATCCATCTAAACTATAATAAATCATTTTACAGTTGTTACTGCAGTGGAAACTTGCGGTTAGAAATTCAATCAATCATCAACATTGACACATTCTACCGGAACTTTGTTCCAATAAACCGAAGGTCGTTTTGACCTGTTTATCGTTGTTTTGTTTAAAAACCTACTATTAAAAAAAACTCTGACAGGATATGACTTATTCTACATTTCACCGCACCCTGTTTCCGAGAATTTTGTCAAACTGTTATTTAACAAAACACTTCTATCGTTTTGTCGTCATGTTAAATTAGTTTCTGATAAATTTCAAACAGACATGGGTTAAACCCAGAGTTATTAGCATCAAAAAGAATTCCACTGTTGGATAAAACTAAATAAAAGGTTGTAAAATAAATAAATTAATGAAACTCTTTTCATCCTCTTTGAAAATAATCTTGGGCACTAAAGAATAAAAGAAACTATCTTTAACTAACCAGCTTTTGCCCTCGACTCCATGTGTTGAATTAAAACCAAATTAAGTTTAGCATACATATGTGTTGTTCCAAATTATGTTCTACATCCCAATGTTATCGAGATCCGTTGAGCCGTTATGGGTATACTTTCTAACATCCATACATCTAGACATTCGCATTTTTAATAGTAATATTTTTCAAACCACAATATTTCTCTTTTTCCTTAATAAAAGTGTAATATCGTAATGGTCGCAATATTTGTGACTGAATGGCCACTGTTTGCCTTGAAGAGGCATTTACAGATTCACCGGGCTTGAGGTGGCCGAGCGCAGATGGCGCTTAGCCTAAACCTCGTTTAGGTCGGCATGGTATTTTAAATAATTTCAGCGTTGGATATCAACGAATGGACATAGATATTTCATTGTGGTATTAATGATTTTTTTTTTATTTTCTTTTCCAGATCAATATGCTACCAAGGAAAAGAAGTATGAAAGGGTTTATATTGACTATTGTCATGCTCATAAAATACTCCGAACAATACGGCTCGGGAGCACCTCCTGGGGTAAGATATTTAACCTAGAATCGACTGGACAGCCAAACGGCCCAACGGGAAGACAATTTCCTATTCAATACCACCTTAATAAACTATCTACAGTTTTGTATGTCAATTCCTTCTCGATTACAACGAAGTACCTGTTGTTTGCTAATATATCCGCGTGAAATAAAAAAAAAATAGTCTGGGTTACTCACTGATAACGTAGCTTTTAATTGGTGAAAGCATTTTTGAAATTGGCCGAATAGTTTTTGAGTTATTTCAAAAAATACAAATCATTCCTTTGCTTAACGTTATTATAGAATAGCTGTTGCTCGCGATTTCGCCCGCGGTATATTAAAAAATAGTAAAAAAAACATAACCTATGTTACTCACAGATAAATTTCCTTTCTAACGGTGAAAGAATTTTTAAAATCGGCCTAGTACTTTTTGAGTTATTTCAATACATACGAAAAATTTTATTACAATATTAGTATAGTTAAAAAATCAACAGATTAGTACTCTTGGGTGTCTTAGGTTTCAATCTACATATTTTTTTTTAATATATAGTAACGTAATACAATATTTATTTCCAGGCATGTCTAGACCAGATGCCGCGTCACGGGGGTATACCAGGACAATCATCACAACCCCCATATGCTATATACACCGCTTCTCAAGTCCGGCAAGGCGACATACTCAATGTAACCATCGGTAGCGCGTTAGGCGCCCCTGTGCCTATAGGAGGGTTCCTATTACAAGCTAGACAAGTTCAGGTGAATTAAACTTACTTTAGATATTAACTAGCTGTTCCCATGCTGCTTCATCCGCATTAAATTATAAAAATTTTATTTTACTGTTTACATTTGTCAAATTCCGTTACCATTACAATAAATAAAAATGACAAACATTAATCCCATTTCCTTCCTACCCTTTTTCTTATAAGAAAAGGATGGGAAGGGAACGGGGACTTGACGGTGGAGGTAACGCATTAGAAGGGGAAACATCCTATTTATGTGCGTCTCCTCCTTCGATTAAGGGTAGGCAACATATCCGCTATTGCGAATGTCTATGGGTAGCTGGGTGAAGCGGTCGCTACACCATTTTGTATTCAGATGGCCGATTTATCGGTTGCCACCTTATACTCGTAATATAAAAAATATATATAAATACATCAATATTTATTATATTTAACATTCCAGAATCCAGATACAATAGAGGGTACATTCACAAAAGTACCGAATACAGAAATAACACAGATTATAAGCTGCAGAGGGAACAATGATTCTGTGACTCACACTAATCCTGAAGCCAAACCGGAACTGACCTTTCAATGGAAGGCGCCTGATGATTATTTGGGAGGGATATTCTTTAGGTAAGAAAATTAATATTTCTGTACAAATAGAATTGAATATATTTGATTGTTTATCTCACTAACTATTGATTGATTTTTTGAATTCTTATTGCATTTGATAGACAGGTTGTTTTTTTTTATTTTATGGCTGTATTAAGTTGTGGAAAAGAAATACAAAAATGCGAAAGTTCCGATGGATGGATGTTGTTTTACTAAATATCTATATATCTTTAGGATTTCGATGATTTGTTTTTAGAACATAGTCTAAAAGATAACATAGGCTACTTGTTAAGATTTTTAATTCCGCGCGGAAAGACACTGGCGTAAACTAGTTATACGTTTCCTTTCAAAGTTAAGTTAAATTCTTGCCTAGGTTATTTAAAAAAAAAACGATTTAACTCAATTATGTAGTTCGATTATTATCAAATATTTCAAATTTAAACCAAATCAAATGTTACATCTTACAGAGCAACGGTAGCACAAAACTATGCTACATTCTGGAAGAACGTTGAATCACCTATCGTAGAGGTTGTCACTCCCGACACCGTCATCACTACAACGCAGCCCGCTCCCATCACCAGACCACCCGCAGCGGCATCTTCCACCACGGAAACTAACGTAAGTAGGCTTTAAAAAACATTTATTCCTTCATCTTTCTCCTTATCCTATTTCCGTAGTGGCGCAACAGGTTGTATCCTCCATATAACCCTATACGTCATCTTAGTCACTCCCTTCTTGATCATGTCACCTTTCAATCCATCCATCTCTTTCTACGTCTACCTCTCTCGCTGTACCACACTCATAACTAACGTTCTATGCGATTCATCCCTCATAACATGCCCATACCATGCTAAACTTTTACTCTTTACCTTCTTTACCACTGGGGCTACTCTAACTTCCGCTAATACACTCATTTCATACCTTCCATTATGTCTATTTATTAGGAGAAATTTGCGTAACCTCTTTCTTCAAAAGACAGGGTAATTTAAATAGATCCCTCTTCCCTCATAAATGCTTATATTATACAGAGGAAATATTTGTATTTTTGTATGCATTGAAATAACTTTGCACCGTTTTCAAAAATTCTTTTACTGTTAGTTAGTAACATAGGCTATATTATTCCATTCCTTTTTTATTATCTTTAGATTTCACGTGGACGGAGTACCGGGTAAAACCTAGTTGATTATAAAGTTCCAATATTAATTTTACCATAATCTTGATTTATACATATTCCAGATTAAAACAACGACAGCGAAACCCGATATCATATACCAAGGTTGTGAGGATACGAAACTCTGCTTCGGTGTTCCTCAAAATTGTATAAAAAGTGGCAACTGCAAAGCGATAGTTGCAGTTTTTGTTGCTGGCGACACTTACACTTTCGAAATACAGGGCACAGATAACCCTAAATATGTCGCCGCGGGATTGAGCACAGATAATAAAATGGGCGACGACAGCGCCATGGAATGTATTAGAAATGATAATGGCAGAGTATCTTTGTTCACTTCTTGGACTTATCCTAAAGCGGAACCTTATGTAAGAAGGTCTGATTCACCGCAAGAAATAGTGCAGTTGCTAGAATCTTCTATAATCGATGGGAAATTGTACTGCAAATTTAGACGGGACACTGTCTCTGTGGTTATGGGACAGACGTTCGATTTGGCGAGTAATAAATATAATTTGATGGTCGTCTCTGGTGATAGTATGAAAGGTTTGTATTTACAGTTATTTACTTATCTTACTATTATAAATGTGAAAATTTAGATGGATGGATGGATGTTTGTTAGAGTATTTGCCTAAACGGTTGAACGCATTAGTTGTAGAGGATAGTCCGGAAGAACACACAGGCTACTCATTGTTGTTTTTTCAATCTTACGCGAACGGAGTCGTGGGCATAAGCTAGTTAGTTATAATAATATAGTCTAGGGAAAGGTGTAGTTAGGTGCCACCCTGGGCTACAGAAAAGGGAGCTACATGGGAATTACTCTCACACAACACTCTTAAAATTACTTAGCCATTGTAAAAAAGAGCCCCAGGGCGATAATAAAACTAGAATCAGCACTGAAAGCTTTATACTTTATTTTCTCTGTACTAAAAGTTGTCAACCTTGATCTCTAGAATGATCTTTCCTTCTCTATCTCTTTCCTTCTTCTTGCAGAACCAGATCGCGTGGGATTCCACTCCCTCGCCTTCGAGTCTACAGGTGAACCGGTCGCGCTGGCCACAGTGGGCGCGCCCGCCGCCGCCAGCAAACTGCTCATCAAACTGCACGGTAGCTTCATGTTATTGGCTTGGCTGGGTAGCGCTTCTATTGGTATACTACTCGCTAGGTGAGTTTGTGTAACTTGTATTACAACGCCTTTCAAATATAAATAGCAAGTACTCTTACTATTCGAGTCAAAGCTCCTTTTAAATATAAATAGTAATTATTTTACACTATTTTCACCAAATACGCCTTTCAAATGTTAATAGCAATAACTTAACCCAGCAGTTGGTTCTATTATGACTCTCTGTAGCCAAAGCTATTTGTTGGATTTTGAATTAGTTGTCATTGAATGTCTGTTCTTTTCCAGAGTTCATAGGTGTAATAATAAAACCAGTTTGTACTAATTATGATTTATTTTGTTTATTTATTTTTCCCATAGGTACTTCAGACAGACGTGGGTAGGGAAACAATTGGGTGGCAAAGACATCTGGTTTGCTGTGAGTATAATTGATATTATTTTTAAATTCTACACATACATCTTACTGCTACACTTAAAGACGTTTAATTTATACTAATATTATAAACAGGAAAGATTTGTATTTTGTGCTTTTGCATGTATTGAAATAACTCAAAAACTATTAGACCGATTTCAAAAATTCTTGCACAATTAAAAAGCGACATTATTGCTGACTATCATAGGCTATGTTTTTTTAATTTCACACAGACGAAGTCGCGAGTATCAGCTAGTATTTATTAAAGGTGTTCCTTAGTGTAGAAAGGCTTGAGATAATAATAATTTGCGATGTACCCTCTAGTTCCATCGTATCCTGATGGTGTTGACTTGGCTGCTGACGATGCTGGGCTTCATCCTCATCCTGATAGAGGTCGGCGGCTGGTCCTCCGCTGGCGGGAACCCGCACGCCATCACTGGCATCGTCACTGTCATACTGTGCTTCATACAGCCCATTGGTAAGTTCACCTGTTATAAACCTAGGAATTGAAGTAGCTGGAATACTTGTATGCCAGTTACTGGAGTTAAAACTAAGATCTCCAGGTACTGAAAATTTGCAAGACGGAGGTATATTGCCGACGGTCACTTTGCTATTTTGGCGAATTCCAGTGCCCAATTGTTTGTCCCCTTAGACTATTAAAAAATATGTAGATGTACTCAAATTGAATTTTTTCATGATTGACAAAAATACATGTGTTATAGAAACTGTCGGATTTTAATTAAAACCATGGAATAGATTAAATAACCGTTTTATTACCAAAAGTAAATTAGGCAGAAATAGAGACAATCTTACGTACTATGGATGGATGGATGGATGTTAGATGGTATCTCCAAATCGTCTTAACAGATCTTGATGAAATTTGTTATAATCAAACATTGTTTGAAAAAAAAGCCACTGATTTTTTTTCTTTTTATTTCTTTTATTCGCGAGTCGCAGACAAAACCTAGTATACCATAGACTTGTACAGATTGAAATATTATTAAAATTGAATTTAAGTTATGACTATGTTTACTTTTCAGGAGCATATTTCAGACCTCACCCCGGCACTAAGAAGAGGCCTATTTTCAACTGGTTGCATTGGTTCTTTGGTAACTCCGCACACATACTTGGAAGTGAGTATAAAATTATTGTTTTTTGCATAGAAATATAGCTAAATAGATTAACGTTAATGTAATAATGTAATTAAAGGAATGATCTGAATTGTTGTATGTATTGAAATAACTCAAAAACTACTAGGCCGATTTCAAAAATTCTTTCATCATTAAAAAAGCTACATTTTCTCTGAGTAACATAGGCAATATTCTATTTTCAAGTAGACCAAGTCTAGAGCAACAGTTATATACTAATACTATAAAGACGAAAGATCTGAATTTTTCTATGTATTGAAATGACTCAAAAACTACTTTGCCAATTTCAAAAAAAAATATTTTAACGTTGAAAAGCTACGTTATCACTGAGTAACGTAGGTTATATTTATTATTATATTTTTAATTCTAACTAGCTGTTCCCGTGCGACTTCATCCGCATGAAATTATGAAAATTTTATTTTATTTTTTACATTTGTCAAATTATCAATTACAAATGACATGACATGATGACAACCTTGCTTCCTTGATGTTGGCAGCAACTTATAGTCTCCCACATTAGGGTTTTAATCCAAAATATTTACCCCCTAAGTTTAATGGCGTTAAAATATTTAGCGTAAAGCGTGCCGCAAGTGTAGGGCTTTTTATTAAAAAAGGGTTATTCAAAAATATGCTGTAATTGCTGACATCTTAGGCAACAAAGAAGTGTGTGTTTACGCTTTATTATAATATTATAAGATATATATAAAATGCTTAGAATAAAATGCTAAAACCTTATTTATTTCAGTTGTGACTATATTCCTTGCGGTGTATCTACAAAAAGCTGAACTCCCTATATGGAGTGTGTACATTCTCGCTGCGTTTGTCGCCTTCCACGTTATTATGCATATTATACTATCGGTAAGTTCACATAATCGCTTAAATATAGTAAAACGCTTGCTTAAAGTATCAAGACTAACCGATCCAAGTACAATTAAGGAAATACGCGGTGTTTCATTTAAAAAAAAATTGCTTTGTTCCTTACAACATTAAGTGCAAAGGAAGTAGAAAAAATACTACGATTACATACAGCTCTGGTGTGAACTAGAAGTTATTTCTTGTTTATCCAGACTTTGAGTGTCCGAAACCTAAATTTAGTCCCTTTCTACCCTATTCTCGTAAGATAGGATGCGAACAGAAAGTGAATTTGATAATTTAGCGTATCTCTATCGATTAGGGGTAGACAATTGCAAATGTAAACGTATCGTTGCTTCGCTTTTTCGGCGAATTTATACCTGAAAGTGTAACACTGCCAGTCTCCCTGATTGTACTTTATATAGTATAGCAGTAGATAGCTTAGTGTTGAGAGCGCTTGTTTTTGTATGATCAGCTGACGGTGTGCGTGTCGGAGGGACGCATCAGCAACGGACGCGTCAACTCCTTCCCCATGAAGGACATGATGGGCCAGCCGCGCCAGCTCGCGCACGTCGACCGCAGCACGGACGCGCCGGTCAGTCACTCAGTCACACACTCGGTCATTCACATTCAGTCGTACATTCATTCATATATACTCATACCTCAATCATTCAATTATACTATAGTTCTGAATATATATCTTAATTTTTTCGTTATTTTTAACACTGGCTGTTCCTATTTTTTGCGTCTTCATTCGAATAAAAACTTTATTTCATTGTTTACACTTGTAAAAATTTTAAAAATTTAGAATTAATGTGCAGTTTTACAATGAGAACACTTTATCCCGAGCATTTTTGTTAATATCAAGCATATTATTAGGTAACTTCATTTGCTTAGCAACGTAGCGCTTGCTCCTTTTAAGCTATCCTGATTACTAATAAATTCCAATTCTCCTAGTAATTATAACCGTCTATTTCCATTGACGAAACCTCGACTTTACAACTATGAGCAGTCGCACAGCTTGGCGCAGTGGAAATAGACACTAAGTTAATACCAATAGACATGGACGTCGCCAGGCGATGATCAAGGGGGCTAATTTTGAAATATTCCATAGAGAAATCTTAATCAAACTTTAAGTACAAATTTTTAATGAAAAACTCACACGTAGTTTTTGAGTTAACTACGTGAGTCTCTAGTGCTGCTTGCACCTTAGTATCTAGGGGTGGGCAATTACTCCCTCTCCTCTCTTGGCGACGCCCATAAATATGGTGTAGACTCATATTCATAGAAATCAGTAGTTATTACTTAACTGTAATATAGTGTTTTATAATTTGATTTTTTTTCCAGTTCTCGAGTTTTAGAAGACAAGTGCTGAGTATCTACGTGCCGATTATTTTGATAATAGTTGTGGCAATGATATGTCTGGTTGCGTTAGCGCCAATCGCGGACACTTACAATAATATTACAGGCGTTTGATATGTATATTGAACTTCTGACCACCGATAGAAAACATTCAGGATATGCGTTAAACTTAGGCTGATTTTCCACTGGCGAAAAACATGTTATTCTTTTGATATTGACAATATTTTAAATGCAGTGGGACACAAAACAAAAAAAAAACAATTATAATTAGTCACAAAATCTAATTCATATAAAATAAATACGTATGCCAGTCGCTGGCATACTGGTATGGTGTGCACTATATTCAGGGATGTGTAAAGGCTAACTGGACTTAGCTTTTGGCTAAGAAGGTAGATATTGATGTCCTTTTGAACATTTGCAGCTACAGATTTATTTTACTGGTATGTGTTTACGTATTGCGACAGTAACTGGTATGCAAACGGCTACTACATTTTACTGGCATGTGTAATCTCTTCATAATAGTAATTTTCGTATGAAATTGTACTTATGCCTTGTATTTGGTTTTTATTTACTATCCTTTTTATAAGTTTTAAAATAAAATAGATAAGTTCGAAGTAAAAATTCGTTACAAATTACATATAATACGAAAACAATAAAAACGCAGAAAAACCGAGGCTATAAAAGCCAAAAAATATCGAGTCAGTATTGATTTTTAAAATGAAATATTTTTAATAATTTAGTGAATAATATTGGTACATGCTTGTAACTAGCAATTACAAAACGCACGCACCAAAGAAATGATCACAATTTTTTTTATTTAAATGCTTATATTGATTTTACAAAAATAATTCTCATATATTAGATACCTACAATTTGAGGTTATAAATTCTAGTACTTAAAAGCACAATACTTTACAATATATATTAATTAAAACTAGATGTTTAAGAATACTGTAATATATCACTATTTACACAAAATATAATGAAAACGCCTAAATACTAATGATATTACTAATTGCTGATTAAAAAAAGATTTTTTGTTTAATTGCATAAAAAAAAAATTTCGAATATTTTGGTTTTGGCATTTTATCTATTTTACACTTTGTATTAGTATATAAGTTGTTGAAAATTGATATTATGTACTTTTTATTTATTTTATACACTTTTATAGCATGTAAGACTTAACCGACTATATTGTGGTACTATTTTTTTCAACAATTGATGTAAATATAGAATTAATAAAGAAATAATTTCTTATACAGGATATTTTATTTTCTCCTAACATAAAAAAATATAACTTACTAGCTTTCGCCCGCGTGGAATTAATAAAAACAAAGCCTATGTGTTCTTCCAGATTATTCTTTACGTCTATGCCAAATTTCATAGAGTTCCGTTCAGCCGTTTAGGCTACAAACTCTAAACTTTTGCATTTATAGTATGAGGTAAGATTTAGCTTGCTACCGCGTGAAAGAAAAGCAAACTCCCAGACTATTCTCAATATTTATGCCTTTCACTGAGATCCGTTCAGCTGTTTAGCCTTTGCATTTATTATACAAGTATTAAGTAACAACATTTTTATGACACAAATATGAAAAAAAAGTTTCAGGCAAAATAGTTAAAAAATATTTAAACAGTAAAATGCCAGTTTGTAAGTTCTTAATTTTGCAGAAATTAGAGAACCTAATTTTTAAGGTAGTAATAACATGTCCTTTCATGATGTAAATAATTCAATTAAAGAAATAGTTTATGAATCTTCTTTAGGTATTTGAGAATCTTCAACAGCCTTAGTAAAAGGTACATACACTTTAAATGAATATTCAGTTCTCGGAAAAGATCCAGGATTAACCAACTGACAGTTCTGATAAGACCTTGTATATGGTTGAAAATGATCAGCAACAACAATTAAATCCGGCATTGGGTATAAACTTAAGGCATCCGCATGCTTCCAATAAAGAGGTTGTATAGCCAACGATAAAGGTGACAATGTACACTGGCTTAACAAAGTTTTCGTCAAATGATCAGGTATGTCCCCAGTTTCAGGGAAGTGTATTGAATTTCTACACATTTTTGTTACCAAATCCTGTCTGAATATGACAATTTCTTGCGTACAATACTGAATTCGGCACGGGTTTGTTGTAAATATGACTGAATCGCCTAGTTTTTGTCTGATTTCTTTTGTTATTGAGTTAGGAATTGGTGGCCTTGGTAAAATATTGGCTGCCGCAGGATCGCTTCTACCAGGTACGAATATAAATTTACATGTCTCTCGTAATTTTGTGAAAGGAAGTAAGACATCAGCCAAGTTATTTAAGGCGGCTTTAAGCTGTATACTATGTTCAGAACCATAGGGACATGATAAAAATTCACCCATAAACACAATAGCTATCGGAGGAAAGTCATTGTATCCAGTAAATAACATTTTCAACTTAGCTATAACTTTAAGATTATCAAACCAAACATCTGATAAGAATACAAGCATTCCATCTTCATTTTCTTGTTCTAATTTTAATAAATTCTGTGAATTCTTCAATAAAGTTTTCGATTTACCACCAAATGTGTTTAAACTACCGAAATAAGGTAATGATGTTGCTCTACTTTCAGAAGGAGGTAAAACAAGCCCCATAACATGTAGAACTTTATCATCGTAATAACCTTCTGCTAAAACAAAACTGCTTTCCGTGAACAATCCAGAATGATACCTTGTTTGACTCATATCGAGTAATATACTGCCTGTAGGATCTTCTAGGTAAAACTTTCCTTCAGTTAACTGTGTTAGAAAACCCAGCACAATAACATCATTGATTCTACTTGATGAACTTAGTAATACTTCGATTTTACGTAATTGAAAACGATTCTCACTTTCTATAGATGGCAACGTTTCTTTAGCAAATAACTTATTTCTTATAGTTCTTTGCCATATTATGGTATATCTGTCAATTAACATTTGCGCTTTCCATTTAGGTTCAGGGTACAAATTGTTTTTTGAACCGACATCTTTTGAGAATTTCTTTCTTTCATTATCATAAGACAATTTTGGGATATCAAATGCATCAATAACATTTAGTACAGTCTCACTTTCTTCTAAACCTAAGGATAAACATTCTTTATAGGCTACTTCTAAATGTTGTCTTTCTAAAACAGGTTGTGAAAGACATTGGTGTAAAAGATGTGCTGTAAGTTTGTCGATCATTTTCTGTCGCTCCTGCGGTGTGAGAGTAACTAGTTGTTCTGCAACAAAAGTGCTCGCTTCTCTTCGAATTGTAAATCCACTGAGTTTAAATGCATTATTAACTTCCACACGTACTTGTTGCAAATCGCCCATAATGAATAACTTATAAATATAACATAAACAATAGAATTCCTTGATATTTATTACGGATTTGTAATCAATGAGAATACAAAAATAAAATTCGCCCGCCAAAAATTACACTGACAGCTGAACTGAAATTAGCTTGACTTTTTTTACAACATAGAGTAAATAACAATATTTATGGTTCACAATAAATTAAGTTGAGAAAAAGGACAAATAAGCGATTTTAGTTCAGTGAGAGCATTTTGTTCCTCTAAAACGAAATTGTTAAAAACAATGTTAACATTATTGTTATTAAATAATAACAGTTTTGTTCAAAATGATGCTTTGAACTCTATTTTTAATCGCTTTGTCTTTGGACCGGTATGTCACTGTCAATTTTTATGACAATTTGTCATTCGCATCTTTCGCATTTACATCATTCGTCATTGGATATACCGAAAATTGTTTTTTTTTAAATAACTTTATATTTTCTAATGCAAAATTATTTTAAAAGCGGCTTTCATTGAGCTACATGTGGTAGATGTTTGTTAATGTATAATAAATGCTTGTGGTATACTCAAAAAATACTGAAACGACAAATATTTGTGAGTGTATTTCGTAACATAGAAAAACTATTGTATAAATTTATTCATTCATAACTTTAAATTAACTAATATTATTATTATTTTTTAAGAAATACACACAGAAGATGGATAGCTTACGACATTTTCAAACTTTTGCGTGGTAAGCAATTTTACACATTTAAAACATTTCTTTAATATTGTTATTATTTCAATGTTGCACCTTATGAATTAAAAAATAAACTTCCAGTCGTTTATAGTTATAATATGGTGTAATACTGGAACAAGGGAAAACATGAATAACTCTTATTATGGAGAGAACAAAATATCTTAACAAAATGTAGAAAATTTAATCACAAAAGTAATTAGTTTAGGACCATGTAAATAAAACATACATTATAAAAATTTACTACTACAAAATCTGAGTCACTGGTGAGCGCTAGTGGTGAAATATGTTGTAAAATATTATGCATAATTATTCTTTTTTATTCAAACAAACATTTAATTAAATGGAATGTTAAATCTATTTATAACATTTGTCAATTTGATTGTTTTAAAATACGTTAATATTTTGACATTCACAAACAAAATATGTTTATATTTACTCAAATATTGTAAACAAAAACAATTACATGTTATAAAATATTGTTAATACAGTGTTGGTGGCTCAGGTGTTTAAGCACTTTACTTGTAATCTACAGGGCTTGGGTTCGAATCCCGCCGTGTACCAATGTGTTAAATTTTCACTAATCACATAATAATTTCACCAAGATTCATTGGTCAGTCCTGGACATGCCTTCTAATGTTAGTTGATGTATTTTTATACAGCTGTCTAAACAGTCGTGTTTATAATATTACTAAATGTAACTTTGTCTAAACATTGATTTTTATCATACAATCTGCAGGTGTAAACCAGACTGGTGCTACCCGAGTATGGGCAAAGAGACAAATGAATTGTTAAGGCAGTGCACAGATCTGCCCGCAGTCAAACTATCAGATGATGTGGAGGAAATTATAAAGAAGAGCAAAGCATTCCCAATACCATTTCCTATTGAAACTGTCAGGTAATTATATTATTCATAGATTAATTTCTAATGTTTTAAGTGACAGAATTAAGCATTAAAAGCAGATTTAATCTACTATATTAGGTAATAATTATAATGATATGCAATACAATAGAGGTGTTGCCACTATACTTGTTACAAATTCAAATGTCATTAACATCTATATTAAGAAAATCAATACAACTGCATCCATCAGTTTTTCTGCAGTAACCATACATTTTTAGTACACTAGAAATGAGGGTGACAATGAAATTATGTTTTTTTTTAATTATGCTAACATAAGGTGGCAAACGAGTAAACGGCCACCTGAATCCACCGAAATGGAAAGCGACTGCTGCTCTTAAACATCCGTAATTGCAGATGCATTCCTATCCTTAATTGATGGAGAAGGATATGCACATAAAGAGGACATTTCCCCTTCCTATGCTTCTCCTCCACTGTCAAATCTACTTTTCCTTCCCAATCTTCCCTCTTAAGAAAAGGATGGAAAGGAAAAAGGAATAAAATTAGGCCTCAGGCACCAAACTAACCAGACGAAACGCGGAATACCTTCCACTTCACGCCTGTTTTCTGTGTGGTCGTAGTATTGCTGGGGGCGAGCCGGCCAATTCATGCGAAGATGTTAAAGTGGGTTCTACCACAGTTAAATGTAGGAAATTGTACTATGTAATTTTTTCAACAGGTTAGAGAAATTACTAGTACGGAGGTCAATTGAAAAGTTGAAGAGAAATATAGTATCTACTTACCCTCTTATACACGAGAGAGTCCTGCTTCTTATGACGCATTTCCTTATATATAAAAGGTAAGATTTTTATCATATAAGAAATGGGCTTTTGAGAAGAAATGTAATGTAAATAAACAGTGTTTTGTTATTTTTTTCTCTTTATGTAAAGTGGTTAAGGTATTTAAAACTAAAATACCACAAATATTCTAAATTACTAATTAAACCCTCTGGTAGTAAAGTGTTTATTTTTTTTAAAGCTTAGATGTACATTTGTCTTTGTTTATGGTACTCCATTTACAGAAAAAAACTCTAAATTCCATTAATATTTTGTCAGTCAGATTGTAAGCTACGATAACGAGGCGTTTACCCTTTATTCGATAGTATCCAGTGTGACAAACAACTAATTTAACATAGATTTTTTTAATAAAACTACTAAAAAAAAATACGTAAGATTTTGTTTTTAGTGTGCTGGTAACATGTAATATTTTTTTGCTACAAAAAACTCTCGATTGGGTTAAAGATTTAAGTATTCGATCATAAATCTTAAAATAAACGCGAAAACCTCTTTATCTCTGTTTATACTTCAACAATGTAAGGTATTTATTTTATTTGAATTACAGAGAATTTGGTACAAGTATAGAGAAGTTGTTATACAAAGAGATGTCTGTCGCTGATCTGATTGACAGGATATTGAAGAAACGAGCGATTACGTTTATGGGCAGACATGATACATACAAACTTATTACTGGGGAAGAAGGGTAAGTTAAGTTATATTTTTTATATCTCTTATTATTATAAATGTAAAAGTTTGTATGAATGGATGTTTGTTAGAGTTTGTAGCCTAGTAGCCTGGAGGGATCTCAACGAAATTTGTCATAGATGTCGAGGATGGTCTCCAAGTATCTAACATTTGCATAGATCTGGATAAAATATAACATAGAAGGAAACTTTGGAGTTTGTTTGTTTGAAAAAAATGTTTTTCTTAAAAAAAAAATCTTATTCCGCACAGAAAAAAAATATCTATATTAACATGTTTTATTGTCTATCTATACTAATGTTATAAAGAGAAAAGATTTGGATTTTTTATGTATTATTTTGGTATATATTAAAATAACTCATAAAGTAATAGGCCGATTTAAAAAATTCTTTCACCGTTATAAAGGTAGTTTATCTGTGAGTAACATAGGCTATATTTTTTTAATTTCATGTGAATGAGCAATCTTATGTCTATACTATCTATACTATTATAATAAAGCGTAAACACACACTTCTTTGTTGCCTAAGATGTTAGCAATCACAGCATATTTTCGAATAACTCTTTTTTAATAAAAAGCCCTATTTGAGTCACGCTTTAGGCTATATTTTCACGCCGTTAAATTTAAGGGGTAAATGTTTTGGATAAAAACCCTAATGTGGGAAAGAGACCATAAGTTGTTGCCAACATCAAGGAAGCAAGTTTGCCATGGTTTGACATGTCATGTCATTTTGACATTTGCAATTGATAATTTGACAAATGTAAATAAAATGATTTTTATAATTTCATGCGGATGAAGTTGCATGGTAACAGCAAGTATTTGTATATAGTAAATAAAAAAAACGTTTTATTTTTAGTCATGGTGGTTGGGAAACTGTAGGCACTTTGCAACAGAAACCTCCGTTAGTGTTAGAGAACTGTCTCAGTTACGATGAGATGAAACTCGCGTCTCTGGTGTACGTGAGCGGCTACACGGAGTGCATCAACGATGGGGAAAGAAAGAACTCCGGAGTTGTCAGAGAAGAGAACGCTGAAGAAGATGCTATTATTATAGGTTAGTGTAATTAGTAATTATTTTGCTTTATATCTTGTGCTTTTGTGTGTGATACACAAAAACTGTTAAACCGAATTAAAAAAAAAATTCACTATAGATCGCTGATTGATAGAATTCTTTTTAGATCTTTATTCTTTTTGACTTTTATATCACTATGGTAATTTTTTTAAACGTCGTGTTTTATGGCAAAAAGCTTTGACTTGTATGTCATATTTTATGTGTATTTAATTCTACAAAAAAATAAATAAAAAATCTAGGAAAAGACGCAGATTACTTTCAACAAAAAATCGTTATAGTAAAAATATATTTTTATACAAAATATCCTATTATTGATGATTTTCTAATTAAAATAACAATTGTCGATTTTATTTATCAGGTGTCGTAGGGCCTCGTTTCCAACGTGCAAATCGTATGGAATACGAAGACATAATAATAACAGAACAACAGAATACCCTTGAGAACGGCTACGGGGAAGAAGTAACTCCGACAACGTGTCTCAATGTATTGAAAACTACGTACGTTAGAAATAACCAGTCAGCTAAACATATGTGGAGACAAATGTGGTCGGAATTCTATCAAGTAAGTGTTAATTTCATGCCCAACAAAAAAATATTAATAAATGCCACTATTTCTCTCTCTCTCTCTCTCTCTCTCTCTGTTTATCTCTATTTCAGTGCATTGAATTTCTTTAAAACAAAATTGGTTAAGAAAATTTTGTGAATGATTTGGAATATTTTTTCAAAATTTTTTTTGTTAATATATATTATAAAGAGGAAAGATTTGGATTTATGGATTCTTACATTGAAAAACTACTGGACCGATTTCAAAATTCTTGCATCATTAAAAAACTGTGACAGATATTAAATAGCTAACATAATATATTTTATTATTTCACGCGGGCGAAATCGCGGGCAAAGCTAGTATCTTATATATTAACTAAGCATGTAAAAGGTGTGACTTAAACTCTGGATTACTTTTTTGGACTATTAAAATATTTTTTACAAGATCTTAGCTTTGAATGCAAGAGGAACCTAATAATGACTGAAAAAACATGATTTACAAACATCAAGTAATTTTTTCCTTAGGTACACAGTTATACTTACCAAGAATTAACATCATACGTGAATATTCAAGATAAATCAGAAGAAAAGAGATATATAGATAGATATGTGAAAATAAAGAATGATTTGATCTTCGATAATGAGGTGTATTACAAGAGATTGTGTGTGTTAGCGGAGGTCGCTCTGTTGGAGGCTGAACATAGAGCTAAGGAAGCGGGCAGACATGCCTTTCTTAATATTATTGGATGTGGTAAGTTTTTTGTCACATTTAAATTGATTTACACATCTGTTTAAACACATTGTCTTTATTTCTTACCAAGTGAAAGGGAAAAATAAATATCACTTCTATATATTTATGCTATTTTAATAAACTGTAAACACACTTCTGTGTTATGTAATGTCAGTTATCATATTATATTTTTAATTAATTATTTTTTACTAACAAACCCTGAAGTATCGACATGTCATAGGCTATATATTTTCACGCTATTTAACTTATGGGGTTAATAAATTGAAAAAAAAACACATAGTACATAGTACACCTGTGTGACCTCTAAGTTTTACATCTATGTCAAACTTCATCCAGATTTATTCAGCAGTTTAGGCTATAAATTACAAACTTTTACAAACATCCATCCATCCAAACGTTCATATTTTTTTATTTTAGTAAGATCGTATTTTCCAGGTTTAGGTGTATGGATGATATCGGAACATCAAACTGACGTCTACATTCTGACATTCTTGGAGAGAATACGGTCTTTTCTGAAGAAGGACATGCTGGATCATGTGTCAGATGTCAACTTTGCTTTCATACATCCAAGTCAGAGTATACTAGGTAAGTATACATAGATATATACTAAAACTAGCTGTTCCCGTGCGACTTCATCCGCATGAAATTATGAAAATTTTATTTTATATTTTACATTTATCAAATTATCAATAGCAAATGTCAAACTGACATGACATAACAAACCTTGGTAATCTTGCTTCCTTGATGTTGGTAGCAACTTATGGTCTCTTACCCACATTAAGGTTTTAATCCATAATATTTACCATTACCATTACCATCCATAATTTTGTATTTTCAGCTTTGTTCACAAACTCATCGGAAGCTGAAACACCGACTGAAAAGAGAATATTCTTTGAAAGTAAACGGCATCCAAAAGGTAAGTGAAATGTAAATTTTTTAAAGAAATACCTGTAAAAGTATGAACAATTGTCAAGTTTCGTATATGGCTTAAGATTTTTTAAGACAGGAATACATCATGCTGGTACAATAAAGTGCATGCCAGCTACTGGCATGACTAGTGGAGGTGTCATTCAATTTGTCTTATTTTTTTGAGTTATAGGGAATTGACATAAAACACATAGACGTGAAAAATTCAAAATAAGTGAAAAATAAGTACAAATCTCACTTGATATCACTTTTTCGCTGTTTTTTTTTGTGTTGTTTTCAAGTATATTCTAAACTAAGAAATTGATTTATATATAAATTAAGGAAAGTATAGTTTATACTAGTAATTAATAATTTTCAGTTTACTGGCTAATCTTTGCTTTTTGCTGTCAATAGATGGCGTTAAATCGTGTTTTTTTGTGTTTTTTATATTATTTTTTACATAATTGGTGTTTTTGTTACTTGCAGGTGGCATCAGCGTGCAGGTGGAGGACCGGCAGCCGTCGTGCCGGCTGGCGGGCGAGCACGCGGGCAAGCTGCTAGTCATCACCTACCCCTGGGACGGGAACGCACATCCCGGGAATGAATTCTGGTAATAATCTAATAATAATTGCACAAATAATAAGTATACTAAAATAAGCTACTACAAGATTATTAACTTTTTTTACTAATAAATTGGTAATAAACACCCCTACACTCTCGACACGCTATATTCTATTTTCGCGCTATTTAATTAAGAGGGGGAGAATTTGTAAAATACTATGAGAGAAAAGAACAAAGACAAGCCACTAGCAGCAAAGAAGCAAGGTTGCCATGGTAACGATAATTGTTAGCCAACAAAAGCTTTCTTTTTTCTTTTTTTCTTTGTCATTTGTGCATTTGAATTTTGACATTTGCAAATAAAAGATTTACAAAAGTACAATAAATTCATGCAGATGAAGTCGCACGGGAACAACTAGTTGTTAATAATTAGTTTTTTATATCTTAAAAGATGACAATCATCATGCGGCTACTGAAATTCGCCAAAATAGCGAAGCTACATTAGCCCATAGAGATCCACATTTGTAAATGCTTCACCTAATTTTAATAAACAGAGGAGGTGATGGAAAGAGTAAATTTACCCTTCCTATGCGTCTTATCCAACTTAAACCACTCTTACCATCCTTGAAAAGACTAAAATTAGACTTTAATGTTGATTTATATAATTACAACTAACATAAGAGTTAACGAACAATCCTTTTTCTCTCAAACAGGCTAGGCAGTCTTAAAACATCAGGCGACCCGGCCGCGGCGTGTTCCACACAAGTGTCAGAGTTACACAACGCTCATATAAACCCCGCACTTTCCGCACGCAATACTAGAGTCGCTGGCAGATACGGATTAAATACATTACATCGATATGCAGCCGCATTAACTACGTAAAATTACTAAAAAACATAAAATCATATTACAAATTTAATTTTGCAGACTTCGTCCGCGCGGAAAAAAAATGTTTAAGAAATATAGGCCCTGGTGGCACACGACATATTTTGGGCATGTCGATAATAAAAAAATCGGAGTGTCGGTGGCTCAGTGGTTTAAGCTTGACTTCTAATCTACAGATCTTGGGTTTGAATCCCGCCGTACTAATCCGATTTTCTAATTTTCATATGTACATAACTTACCTAACGTTCTTACGGTGAAGGAAAACATCATGCACATATCGGCGAAGAAATTCAAAGATATGTGTCTAACCGCAGTGGGCAAAATATTACGAAAAAATTATAAAATAAGTGCATGGAATTGACTAATAATTAATGTCTTATTTATTCGATGCGACTCTAAGACCGTATTAAACATCTTTAAAAAAATAGCACTAATGCATAAATGTTTGCCACCCCTGGACCTTCGATGGTTAAATGTTCACCACCCCTGGCCTAGGTATTGTGAATTTTTCACCGGTAATTTCTCTGATAGGTAATATTTATAGTCAAGATTACCACTTCAAGTCCATTGACTTTACAATATTATAAGCTCCATCTATTGTTATAAAAGTAAACAGTGTCACAAAAAAACATATAAAACATTTTTTTTTAAGTATTAGTATGTGGTTTTGAAGCTATCAATAGATATCGTTAGTGGATTATGTAAAAAATGTCTCAAGTGAAATATCAACTATGTCTATATATTTTTTGAATCTCTGAAAAAACTCAGAAAGTCAGTTATATGTTTTTCCAGACTTTCCTACATGTCCCAAATTTCATCTAGATTCGTTAAGCTGTTTCCGATATACCTTGTAATAGACATCTATCAATCTAAACTTTAATTTATAATATTAGTAATATGAAAGTTCAGATAGATGGATGGATGGATGTTTTTTTTTTATTAATTTAGGCATATAGAGCATAGTCTAAAAAAAAAGGCTACTTACTTTTTTTGCGCGCGGACGGAGTCGCGGGGGACAGGTAGTCTCTTATAAAGAGGGATAATTTTATTGTTTATTGTGATCAATCGATTCCAAATTTGTGAGTAATATAATATCTCTAGCTATTTTCACGATTTGAGAACTATGACGTCACAAATTGTAACAATATGACAAGCGTTGCACATCCTTATTTAAAAAAATGCTATAGAAATATTTCATTTTACAGTTTTGTATAAATGCTTGTGTTCGAGGGAAACAACTCAATGTTGCCAACATAAAACTTTAATATGAAATATTTTGAACTGTCACAGAATAAACTGTTCTATAGAATAGTAAGTAGGTAGAGACTCAAATTCAGGCAATAATCTTTTTTGTATCTGACGTTAGGTGTCATTTTTCTACGAATTTAGTATTATCAGAATTTCACTTAAGCAATAATAAACCGTATTGATATTGGAATAAAGTGCTTTTTTGAATTGTATTAGTTTAAATAAAAAAAATCGAATATGTAACGCACATAAAACGTATATAGGTTTTCCAACGCTTCGAAATTGGAATATTCTGGAAAAGATCGATTATTTAATTAGTCTATTTTGCATCTTATTGTGTAATTAATAGAGTTTTTTATTCTTTATTTTCTATTAGAGTTATTATATGATGCTTCTTGCCTTAAAATTTTTTAGTGATAGACGATATGGAGTAAGTTTTTTTTTTAATAACATTTGATTTACGTTAAGTGGAATTATTTTGGAAGGTAAAATTAACCATAATGTTAAAATCAATTCATTGTTAAAAGATGGCTATGGTTGAAAATAGTCATGTAATTCCCGCGCAAAATTTTATATTTTCTTTTTTATTTTTATAACGAAATGTATTTCAAGTTTTTATTTAAAATGTTTTCTATTTATGAAATAAACGCTATTTATATAAGTTTTATTTTGTTTAAAATATTATGCATAGTTTTAAATTTTAATTCAAATGACTAAAATATTATTGTATTGTTAAATTTAATTAATTTGCATTTTATTTCATTGTATTTTTGTTAAGAAGTATTTTAAACACTGGTGGTGTAATTGAAGTGCTTTAAGATGTAATAAATGTAATTCCATTTCAAATTAAAGCCTAAGTCTTGTGACAACTAAAACAGCTAAATTCAGACATGGCGGCAATTTTGGTGCAAACCAAAAATGGTTTTTATGGAAATTTTGTAATTAAATAATTACGGTACATATTTTAGGCCTTAGTTTGGAAAATAGAATATGTTTACCTAAAAATAAGATACTTTTCACTTAATTTATATATAATTTGTGTAGCGGTTTTTGTATGTAATCATGAAATCTTTAATTTCTATTTAAAACTTGCCAAATCATTTTGGAAAGGTAAAAGGTGACTTTTATAGACTAAGTAATAGAGACTGGCTATGTTTATATGTATTTTAGTAGTATATATTTTAGGTACTCGAATATTTATATATTTATCTTATATACTGTGAACTTTGCTGTGTGTAGCAATAATCGGTCAAAAAAGCATTGAAACAGTCGCTAAATTGAGTGAAATGTTAAAATTGCACAAATATTTATTATATATTTGAGGTTATCTATGTCAATTAATATAACCTTTAACAATCTACATCTAAAAAAAAGATTTGCCTATTTGTTTTTTTTTATGTACATTAAATAGCTCGATATTTCTCATTTTAAGGCTCTACTTTTGTCGAACAATTTTTATCAAATAAATATTCATTTAAAATAGATTTAAATGTTAAAAATGTTACTTCGTAATGTTAGCGTAGTTTAAATCTATATTTTGTGGTTTTTTAAATACGTTGACAATGCAGCCAACCTTACATCTCAAAATTTAGTTTATATTCAGTGCTGCCAACTTTATAATGATTAGCATCAGTTGGGTTTGATTATGAATTATATTTATACGTAGCGTTAATTAGTATTACAATAGTGATAGCGAATTAAATTGTACTCTCTAATAATATTCGTTATATTTATTTTTCATAAGAAATATATCCATCTGTTTTATAAAACGGTCTTTTATTAAATTTCCCATTTAAAAGCGTCTGTTATGGCAGTTAATTCTATCTCTTATTTTCAATCCTCATTACGACTGCGACAGTAAGTACCACATATTGTAGCCTGAATTCACTCACCAAGATGTGTTTTTCAACATGTTTTTGAACAGTGACAACTCAGGTTTAGCGGTTGTATTTCAAATGTAAATATCTTTATCTGTGCAGTAGCTCTATTTGAAAAGATAAATATAACCTTGGAGCATAAATTGCGCAGATGTTTGCGACGTTTTAAGTTACGTAATTATTATTAGCATAACAAGTTTCATTCGCATAATTATATAAGGCATTTAAACTATCCGTTGACTAAAATTTTCTATTTATTTTGAAGTCAAGTAGGCGTAATGGATATTTGTAAAACTTGCACAGATCTGCAAAAATTTTTGTGAAGTCCGATCCGCATTAAGCATAGATCGATTAAGGCATACTCAATCCTAAATTAGGGTCCAGAGCACCTCATTATGAATATTTTTACTAATATATAGAGGAAAGCGCTGTATTTTTGAATGTTTAGCAATTACTCAAAAACTACTGGTCCGATTTCAAAAAATCTTTTACCATTAGAAAGGTCTTTTATCTGTGAGTAACATAGACTATGATGTTATTATTTTTTGAATTAAACGGGGACCAATACTATAGCTTATGGTAGTTGGCCATAAGGTCTTGCGCAGCTAAGTTGTAGGCGATAGTGCCAAAAAAACACTAGTGTAAGTACAAATATTTACATCCTAGATGACACAGTAGTGCAATATTTTGAATAACAATTGGTTTTGTACAGCGCAATTGGAATAATATTGGAATTAGTCACGATATGCGCATTTCACCTGCGACTTGCTTATGACAAACATCCACAAATTTCAAGCTTGTTTATGTTTACACAACATATATGTTGGCTACTTTTATCTATGAAACTTTTGCATAATATTATTGAATCTTCAATCTCTTTAGTTCATTATTGAGTTTTTCTAAACTGTGGCCGAGGAAATTAATTCAAATTTCATTATCAGCCCCCTCAATCAATCACTTAAAACATTCATCTCTTGAACTATGCTTTACCGATCTGTGACAAGGCTTGGGAATACTAATCAACCAGAATGAAACAACATATATGAACAAGCAATCTTACTAATACTAATATTATAAATGCGAAAGTTTAGATGGATGGATGTTTTTTAGCGTTTGTAGCCTAAACGGCTGAACGGATCTTCATGAAATTTGGCACAGGTTTAGAGCATAGTCTGGAAGAACACATAGGCTACGTTTTATCACGGGCATAGTTACGGTTCCTGTGGGATTCATTAATTTAGTTTTGTAATGTTTACTCATTCATTCTGCAACGGTTCAACATATCCTTTTGAA